TGTGTGTGTGTGTGTGTGTGTGTGTTTTGAAATGACATCATAGGAAAGAAGCTAGACTAACCTTTATCTGTTGACATAAAGAATCTAAAGATCCTTACCTTTCAACTGGGAGTTGTGTACAGCAAACATGTTGATAGTCATTAGCTGCAGCATGCGGGTACTTCCAATAGGAGAGGGACTATGCTGCAGTAAGACCTGGAACTCCTTGAGGACTTTCTCAGCCACTGCAGGGAATGTCTCCATCCTATAAATACAGTCAGTCCATCACAAGAGCACTTGGTATATACATACAAACTTATTCACTCAATCTCTTTCTGCCTCCCCCACCCTCCCTTTCTCCCATTCAGACAAGATGGGCGCGTTGAGGGTGGTATGGCTGTAGACCCTTTCTCCCCATCAATCTTCCATTCCACCTTCCCTCAAAAGCACATCGCTAATGCCTAGGACAGTTCTATGCTACTTTCACAGACCTTCCTGGTATCCGGTGACTGTGCACAAATTTAAGGGAAAGAAATTTTCGACGTTTGGAGATGGAAACAACTCAATTTTCGTATATATCACTATGAGTTATAATACTTTGGTATGTTATTTCCTAACACCTGGCATTATCTATATTCCAGTTGAAATCAAAGTTTCTCTCTGAAACAATCTATTTTTCTAAGCAGCTAACAAGCTTTCTTTAAACTCTAAGACCTACATATTCCCCAAACTCTCTGGTGTGAAAACTGTACTCTATAAAAAGAGGCTCGTGAATCTAAAAATTCTTACTAAAAGCTTTTACTTCTGGAAACAAGATATAGTTTCTCTGCTATCTTCTTGGGTATTGTCACACTAACTGCTCTACTATCTAAGGATCCTAAATTTCCCCTTGATGAGTCCCTAAATCTAGGGCCCCTAAGATCTGTTTCAGTCTTTCCTGTGTTGCTGTCCTCTCACAGGCCTCTACTCATCAGAGTCTGTATGTTTTCAGGCCAGTGGAAATATAATGCCCTGGCCAAACGCCACACCCAATACAGGAAGAGTCTGTAATGTAGAGGTAGAAATCCAGCCAGTGACCTAGGGCTCCTAAAGAGAGGTCATTCAGACTACTGCCTGTCAACTGTGGCCATTGGCTCCCAAAGAGCAGTACATGCCTGTAGTTCCTTTGGCAACAGGGACAAACCACAGCCGGAGTCCTCAGAAATAAAAAGCAAATTCAAACTGGGTGCTAGAGAGAGAAACCAGGCACATGGGCTTTAGGACCATGCTGAACAATCCATGGTCAGCAGAGTATCTTTAATCCATCTTCAAACCACCCTACCCCTCAACAAACCATCTTCTTGTGATACACTAGGATATGGGGTGAGGAACAGCTGGATTAATAGTTTCTGGAAAGCCACAGGGAAGGGAATCCTTCTCAAAGATAAAAGACAGTTAAGTCCTATAGAAAGGAACTTCTTTTCACCTGAACCTTGCCCTTCTCTCGCCAAATAGTTTCCCTCCTCCCATGTGCCCAGGTTAGAAATTCCTGAACTTTCTGTCATCTTGGCAATTCTTCTTTGCCCTGGGATAACAATTCCTATTACTGACCTTCTAGGTAGATCACATGCCACAACTATAGGTGAGTTACAGTTTGTATTCCAGTTCCCTTCATTGCTGAGTTTTGCTCATTTTCACTGGTACAAAACAAGCCATGTATTTGCTTTTCCCCCTACCCCTCTCAATACACAAGCCATTTCAAGTGTCTTCCCCCAACCCCACAATAACTACAAAAAACAGTAACAACAAAACCCACTTTTATTTTCCCTTTTAAAAAGTTTTAGAACCTTTAAAACTCTTAGTAGGTTTGGAATGGCAGGGAGTGATATGTTTGGGGCTGGAATGGATCCATTTTTCCCCACGGACTATAACAAAGGTTTCATTTTAAATCCTGACACTGTGCAGCACTCTTTCTGGTCGAGGTGGTGGGGGGGGTGGGGGCTAGCACTTCTCATTACGAGAATAGCAGAGTTCAATCTGCTTGAAAAGCAGCCACACTGGGCAAGTTTCAGAGACATGTGTCTCCGTGTTGAAAGGCAGTGGAGAGCCAGCACAGAACGACATGACAGAGTGTCACGTGGGACAATTTGCTTCTAAGCTGTGTCTGAGGAAGCCTCTCCCCTGGAATGGGAATTGAAACAGATCCATTAACACTCCCTAGGTCAGACTGAAGTCTCAAACAAGCACCAGGCCACATCTTTTTTTTTTTTCTTTTTTAAGTTTAAAAAAAAAAATCTTCCTTTTGGGGATCCTATACTTTTATTATGGAAATGACATAAACCAAAATTAACTCGATAAAAAATATTTAATAATAAAATAATCCTCCCTTTACTTTTCAACTAGTCTAATATGATTTTTCTTCTAATATGATTAAAACAAAAAAAATTAAGTCAGTTGGCTGTGTTAAAGAAATCCAATTCTGAGATATGAGGAGAAATGGATCTATTCAAAGGTAATTATTCATCCTCAGAGCTCAAAAATGAGATTTCTGACTCCCAGGTTTATGACCAAATTACCGGCCCAAATTACCTGTAAATAGTTTCATGTCTTTCTCTTTGAGAAATAAGCTTTGCTCCACCTCACATTACAAAATAAAAATTGTACTAAAACTGGGATAACAATAATATTCTAAACATATATATGGATACATATATAAGTATATAATTGCAGTTTTAAAAAACCTGGAATACATAATCTGATGTCTAGCGTTATCTCTTTGGAGGGCACAGGAATTAGGGAGAAAATTGAAAGAAATTTTAGCATCAGCTGTAATGTTATACTTTCATAAGGAAATTTTGTTTATTACATATGTAATAACTATAAAAGTTTTCACCAAGAAGCAACAATAGTGAAGAAGAAGAAAAAAGAGAAAGCACAAAAAGATGGTAATTTTTAACAGCAAAAAGTTGGAAGCAGTGTAACAGCAGATGATTAGGATGATCAAGCAATCCAATTGAGCTCTATTTTTTAAAAGTTAAATTAGATTTGTCTGTCTTGTAGGTAAAGTTCAACATACATTAAATGAAAACCATTTTAAAGTAGTTTAATGTGATTCCCTTTACACACATTCATAAGGAATAAATATTTGTGTAATCTATAGGGGAAATGACAGAAAAAGTCCCCAAGTATTAGCTATCTCCAAGTAGTGAGAATATGAGTAACTTTATTTCTTCTTATTGCTGATTTTTCTAAATATTTTACAAAAAAGCACCATGTACATTGATTTCCCCTATAATGAGTAACTCTGGCTTTTATATTTTAAAACATTTATAATTATAAAAATAAATCAAGACAACATATTTTAAAAATTCGAAGTCCAAAATAAATAGATCTTTCCATTCCAAAAGACCTTGAAGCTGTGCAAATAACATTACTAGGCAGGCAAACAAAAAACAGAAGTAGTAACTTTAACCAATGTAGGAACAGAAAGCAAAATTAATTTATTCATCACAAATCAGAAGTCTCCAGGTTATTGGCTCCCAACCTCTCTCTCAGTGGAGTGTACTCTGACTCTGCCTCTCACCTAGAAAACAAGTGTCTATCAGGAGCCATACAGAAACTGATAGATTTTTCATCCTGAGCCCGGACAAAAACTATCCCTATCCTTTAAAACTAGAAAACGCAATTATTTTCAGGATATGTATTTCACTCACTGACTGTGACCTCTTTTCGAAGTGACCTCCAGAGACGCCTTGTCTCATTTGAATGGCAGTTTTAAGAAACCAATCTTTCAGATAACACGGGACCTAAATCTGGGAGTGACTCAGATGGTGACTAATGGGGCAGGACCCAGCTTCTCAGATGAAAAGGAACATAGTTGGGCCAGACAACATTCGCTACAGAAACTAATCAGGTTTCCTAATTTCTTAATTTTAAAGACTGAACAAAATAGGAGCAACCTAATAGCAAAACAAACAAATTTTTTAAAAACTGAGTCTGGTGAAAGGGTAGAAATGAGAGAGAAAAAAAATCACAGTGTTATAGAACATAAGGATAGGAGTGGACCTTAGAGACCAGCTATTCGAACTACTGGTAAGGAAACTGAAGCCCCAGAGATTTTTACTTGTTTGAAGTTTTTACTCTTGAGGTGTTATAACTAGCCAGCAGTTCAGAACAAACTCCTTTTAGCATTTGATCCCACCCAACATTCCTAATCTCTTCTTCACTGGATGCTGACAGTAGAAGATTCATCTTGCACATAGTAGGCATTCAAGCATATACTGATGCAACTTCTAAGACCAGATACAAAAGTTAAAGACCAGGAGAATACTGGGGCTTTCCTCAAAAGGCAGGCAGGACAGTGACATGTCTTCAGCTGCTCCCCATTACAATCTCCTCACTCTTAATTTATTTTCAACGCCTCCCATATTTCACATCTTCTTAGTAATTAGGCAACAGTTCATGATGTTGTGTGTGGCTTGGGCTCACTTTTTTTGGGTGTGTGTGTGCGTGTGTGTGTGTGTGTGTGTGTGTGTGTCTTACAGACGTCTATATTTTTTATTTCAAACAGAAAAAAAGTTATTGCTGTTTCTGCCTTCCAGAATAAATGCAAAGCTCAATTCTCTTTACCTCCAGGACAGCATCAGAGGAATTCTCATGGAAGGGCTAGAGTGCCTAAAATTTACATACATTATCTTATGCGAACACTATTATAATTCATTTTCTATGAAGGTAAAACTAGACAAGCCTTATCTTTTTGCCAACAGAATATGTCATATGCAGGAATAGAGATGATCTTGAAAAGTAATCTGGACCACAGCAAACCATCTCTAACAAATGAGATAATCTATTATTTTTTTTAAAGGTTTCCAAAGAAGGAACTTCCCAAATATCTTCCCTCTGTAGAATTTTCTTACACCTAACCTAATTCTCTCCAGTTGTAACATAAGCCTATTTTCTCTTGCTGTCATTCCATAAAAATCAAGACTACCTGGCTATGACTAATATTTAAACACAAGGCTCCCACAATTATCTCTAAACAAACCTTTTTATACCTTAATTTTTTAAGATACATTTTTTCTCTCAAATCCCATTTTCACCTTTTTAACAATTATTGTGGCTCTTTCCCAAATCTCTGAAAATATATTTACCTAAATATGAGAATTTTAAAAGGAAAAAAAAGTAGGATTCTAACTGCTAGTCTTATAAAAAGTATATCCTCAGGGCCCTCCCTAGTGGCATAGTGGGTTGGAGCCTAACATTGTGAAGCTGGCCGTGGCCACTTCAGTGCAAGTTCAACCCCTGGCCCTGGAGGTGACCACATGGCATGGCAGACCTCTCCTGACCCGCCCACTGCTCTCCTCAGCAGCGTACTTCATTGATCTGCTTCTTCTGCTCCCCACTCTATCTCTGGTGAATTCTCTCATGGCCCCTGAACCTCTGGCCTGTACCCCCGTTCTGTATGCATAAATAATTAAAACCTTTAAAATATGTATACACACACACACATAGATGTGTGTGTGTGTGTGTGTGTGTGTCCTGAATATCTCTACATTCTGGACCAAGATTTATATGTCTTAAGTCCCAAAAGTCTCTAACAGAGCTAAAAAATGCCTAGAGCAGTGGTTCTCAACCAGGAGCAATTCTGCCCCCCAGGGAATGTTTGGCAAGGTCTAGAGACACTTTTACTTGTCACAAATGGGGATGGAGGAAGGGTGTGCCACTGGCATGTAGTGGATAGACGCCAGGGATGCTGCTAAACATTCTACAATGCACAGAACATTATAAGTAATACAGAGATTGAGAAATGTGACTGAGACAACATGAAATTTAAAGAACAAAGACAGAAAAGAGGGGAAAGGAGAGAAAATTCTGAGTGGAAAGATAGTAAAGAAATGTGTGTGTGTGTTTTTTAAATGAAAACTAAAAAACATTAAATAAAAAAGTAAGGAACCATAGAACTTAGTTAAATGCAGCACAGTAATATTTCCTACAATGAGCATTATTTTATGAAATGATAACTGACATCCTCTGACCTTGTAGTTCTAACTTGACATTACTTGCTAGTGATTGACCTGGGTCTACTAAATTAAGAATACTAGACCCTTCTCTCCAGTTTTTCATAATCTATCCACTTCTTATGAAGACTCACTCACTCATACAGTATATAAGTGGCACACCTACTATAAATCAGGCACGAAGGATATAAATGTTAGGTAAAAAACTCCTGTCAGAGTTTACGTGGGGGGAACGGGGCAGTGGTGAAGGGGAGCTCCTGAGGCACATATTTACTCTCCCTAAGTGAATCATTTTGCATTTACTTCTACTAATACAGATGGGTTGATTGGTATTACAAGTTACTTCAAATCAAGACTTCTCATGGTATGGCCATCACTGCACTCTTGCCCTGGATGACTACAAATGAATATGTAGTAATTATAAGCATATTTTCTAGATCACCATTCAGGGAACAGAGTTTTGTCCTATAAGCAGGACAAAGCCTTGCAGTTTCTCAAAAAAGTTACTTCTCAAAAGTATAAGGAAGTTGACATAGCTCCTACTCCCTTCCCACTAAGGAAACCTATTACAGATCAACTTACACAGTTCTGACAGAAAGTAAAAGGGAAACAGTGATAAGACTAGGGGAATAATCCAAAACAAGAACCTCAGAGGACAGTTCACAATAAAACTTCCATACCAGAAAATATTACCATGCAGTAGCAGGCCCATCTGTGAGCATCACTACCTAGCCCTCTCCCAGACGAACAAGGCACAACAGCACACTCTGCACAGTGTGCACAGTGGTTCAGGTTTCAGCATCACTAATGTTACATAGTGAGGGGAAAAAATGATCCAGCACAGGAATACTCTAAACTTGATCTCTTTCCAGGGATTTAATGGGTGAAATAACAGGGTTTTGCATATACCACCTTCCCTGAAATTTATATGTAAATCCATAGTGGATGGTGAAATTATAGAAAAGTCTGGGAATTTACTGAGATCAGCAATATGGTACAGAAATCTGGGTACAAAAGGGAGAGAAAATGTTGGAGGAAAAGGAAATGTCACTCTTTAAGGGAAAATTGGTAGACAGTATTCTCCCCAAGTAGGATCCCTGGCAGCTTCACCCAGAGACTAAGCATGACTTTCTTGAGGAGCTCACCAGGAGCAGAGGAGAGAGAAAGTGAGAAGAATCAGGGGTGGGTATGGGAAAAGGTCATATTTAAAGGGAAGGTGCTAGTTAAGGTAGAAAAATAAGAGACAGAGGAGTGGAGAGTAATGTTTCTCAAAGTTCATGAACACAGTAGGAGAGTGAGTGAAGGGAAGAGAAGGTGGAGGCCTCTAAGAATTCACACCCTGTGCCCTCAGTTACAAACACAGTCTAGTTGCTAACAATATTAAATTCCAAAATGACTTGTAATGTAGGAAAATAAAATAAACATCCTGCACACTTACCCAATCCGGGTAAACAGCTTCCCATGGGCATGGAGAAAACTGAGGATGAACCTTTTGTTCAGCTGCATGGGAAAAAGAGAGAGGAGAAAACAATTAAACTTTCCCCAGTTTCCTGTTACTGAACAGTGTCCCTAGTGACACAATAACCTGGCCAGGGTCTAAGGGGTGGGCACTAGGGATGGGAACCAAATGGACATGCCCAAACTCTCTCACAGACCTAGGGCACATGCCCAACAGCTGCTGCTCCACTGAGCGCAGATGACACCAGACTCAGTGAGTGGACAGCACCCTCTGCTGGCAATGGTGTCTGTGTGCAGGGAATGAAGCTGTGAATTCAAACTAAGCCCAAGAAGAAGCCCACAGCTCTCAGATATCCAGGATCCATAACAGTCCCACTCTGGTTCCATAATTATGGAAATGAAATATAGAAAGGCTGGAGATAATGTTCACTTTGGAGAAGTCCAATATTATCTAAAACCTAGTTATTTCCCCATCCAAGAAAGTAGGACTGTTCTTTGGTTAACACCAGGTACAAAGTTACACATCACTCTGAAGCTCATCAAACTATATTTTTCCAGCTTTTAAAACTGGAAAAGTTATAGGCCTGGGGTTGAAAATCTAAGTACCTGGCCCTCCCTGGTGGCACACAGGTTGAAGCACAGCACCGTGAAGTTAGCTGTAGCTGCTTCAGCACGAGTTAGATTCCCAGACAGGGAGGTGACCCATATGAATGCAACAGACCTGTCCTGTCTCACCTGCTTCTCCCCTCGGGAGTGCACTTCATTAATAAGCCTGTCCTGCTCCCACTCTATCTCTGCTGAATTCTCTCACCACCTCTAGCCTGTACTATTCTGCATAGATTAGACAGATAGACAGACAGACAGACAGACAGACCGACCGACCGACAGATAGATCTTTTTTTAAAAAGGAAGAAAATCTAAGTATCTACTGGGCCAGGCTTGAAATAAGCTGATGTGGATGCTAAATGTCTGCTTATCCCCAGTTCTAGATGTCTTCGTGAATATCTGGATGTTCTTTATGAGTCCCGGGTTATTTCTTTCCTTTTTTCTCTTTAAAAAAAAAGATGGGTTTGGTGATGGGAAACCCGTGGGGATTACAATTGAGATGAAAAAAAAAATGTGAAAAATGATGTAAAAATAAACTTTTTAATAAAAAAAAAAAAGATGGAAGTTGAGTTCTTATGTGAAAGTCTCTTTTGATTGTTGACTATGAAAACAAAAAGATTAAACATTACACAAGCCAAAAATAACAAATTTGTCAGTTATATCAGGTCCATGTACCAAATGACAATCTCAGTTTAAGGTTCAAAAAAATCTACTATCAAAACTGAGAAGAGAGAGCTCCCTAAACAAAACAAGAATGGTAGAGAAAGTTCAGCTCCAGGGAAAATGAAGATAACCTAAAGATAAACCTCATTTTCCCTAGAAATAATTCACTCCTAGAAGTAATTCACTCAGGGAGAGAAGTAATTCATAGGAAGAGAAGTCAAGAATCTTGATCTCAAGGGGTTGGTTAGGGAAGCAACAGTCCAGCACCCCTGGAAACTTCCAGAAGGTAAGGTTATCTCCTTGCAAAACAGTATACCAATCTACTTCATGTGGAAGCTAGGCTTGGCAAAAAAGGGTACATTCGCACTTCACCAATGACTTCAATTACCAATTCTTCTACTTTTGCTTAAACCAATTACATTTAATCAGCAATACTAGGTCAAACATTGACTTATATAGTTAAAAAGTTCAGGTGCTTCACTGAAAGTAACCTGTCTCTACAGCAAGGTAAATCAGGTTCAAGGGCACTGGGTTCAGCGAACACAAAGGAAAGGTAAGAAACTGCTGCAAAATAAATTACCAATGATTATACCATTGGCTGGAAAAACCTAGGCCACAGTGCAGGTTTCTAGATCTACTAGTAGAGGAAGGTGTTGAAAAAGGTGGATCTCCGAAAAAAAAAAAAAAAATTGACAGGTGTTTATAAAGTTTTACCTCTGTCAATAAAATTTAATGCTATAGAGTGGCCCTCCCTGGTGGTGCAGCAGGTTAAAAACACAGCACTGAGAATCTAAAGCCACTTCTGCATGAGTTTGATTCCCGCCTTCCCCAGAGGTGACCACATGGTGTGGCAGACCTCTCCTGACCAGCCCGCTGCTCCCCTCAGCAGTGTACTTCGTCCATCTGCCTGTTGTGTTCCCCACTCTGTTTCTGGTGAAGCCTCTCACCACCCGTGAGCCTCTGGCCTGTACCCCAGTTCTGTATTCACAAATAAATAAATCTTTAAAAAAAAAAAAAAGTGCTATAGAGTCTCTCAGGCAACTGATTCTAACTAACCTCTGCAAGATTTTCTTTTCACACAAAGAGACAATACTTAAATATTAATGGTTGGTACAAGGAATTCACAAATAAATTCTTGACATACTCTAAATATTCAACTGTTAGCAGAACATTCTCCCCTAATTAGATAAAACAAGTGGTAAGATGTTAATAAATAGAAAATCCAGGTATAGGATACATGGAATTTCTTTGTATTAATTTTAAAAATTTTCTACAGGTATAAAATTATTTTAAAGTAAAAAAGTAGATATGGGGTGATTTGGTGATGGGAAGCCCACAGGGATTACAACTGAGATGGAAAAAGGCACAAAATGATGTAAAAATAAACTATTAAAAAAAAAGGTAGATATGTATGCATGTGAATACATTCCTTCTATATTCTTATTTTAGCTTAATTATCCCTTTTCCAAAATTGTCAAGCATAACTAGCTAACCCATAACCAGGAGAAATCCTTCATAGCCTGTTATATTTATTCATACAAGTTACTCTGGAAGAAATAGGATATTAGCCCATCTTATTCAAGTCAATTACTTGTCCATATCCCCAAGGCAGCTCAGAAATGTGAGTAACTCAAACCAGTAAATGTCAGTTAGAACCTGAATCCATGGATCCTCCCTAGTGGTGCAATGGATTAAAGCACTGCACCATGAAGCCATCCCCCGCCAGGGAGCTGACCCACATGGCACAGCAGACCTCTCCTGTCCCAACCACTGCTCCCGCTCAGCAATGTATTTCAGTCAATCTGCCTGTTCTGTTCCCCACTCTGTCTCTGGCGAATCCTCAACTCCTGCAAACTTGGCCTGTACCCCAGTTCTTGTATGCATAAAAAAAAAATATTGGGGGGTGGGGGGGGCCTGAACCTAGGTCTTCTGGTTTCGAATATAGTTCTTTGCCGTCCCTTACACTCAATTATCTTAGAGAACTGGTGAGTTTATTCTTGAAGGGCTGGTGAGAGAATAAGAACAACTAAAAACCTTAAGGTTTTTCTTACCATTTAGGTGGGAAATTCACACTATGAGGCCCACAATACTTCCTGGAGTAAAATGAGAAAATCAAGAGGTTTTTTCAATATTTTTGACTTATCTATATACTCCCAGAGATCCTTCCCTTAAGATATAAAGTCTACTTAATTACCTGAATCCACACTTGCCTTTCCTGTAATATTTACTCTATATAACAATAGTAGAAAGTGGATTTATATGTACTGCTTTTCAACTAGTGAAAATGAAGGGAATCTTAGGAAACTTATTCAAAATCCACAAACATTCTCCTTGGCAATGGTTAATGACAACTACTGCTTTCTTTAGTATGGAAGTATATGTCATCCTAAATGTAGTTTCTCTTGTCACCAACATTTAAGTAGGAAACTTAGATAAAAATATAGACACAGCCTAGAAAGAGGTAAGGCATATTATATTGAGAGGAAGGAGATTTGTTACATGTTCATCAAAATGAACCTAAGTAACATTGCCAAGTAACAATATGAAGTCAGCGGGCCCTCCCTGGTGGCCCAGCAAGTTAAAGCACAGCACTAAGAAGCTGGAACCACTTCAGTATGAGTTTAATCCCTGCTCTGAAGGTGATCCACATGGCGCAGCAGACCTCTCCTGACCCACTCGCTGCTCCCCTCAGCAGTGTACTTCGTTGATCTGCCTGTTCTGCTCCCCACTCTGACTCTGGTTCATCCTCTCACTACCCCTGCACCTCTGGCCTACACCCTAGTTCTGTATGCATAAATAAATAAATCTTAAAAAAAATTTTAAAACAATATCAAGTCAGAAAGAACTGAGGGATAACTTTTGAAAAGCTCTTAACTGAGGTAAATCCACAGTAATTGAAGCCTTAGCCTGAAATACCTCCCTCTCCAACACATTACCATAGATTAGCTTCCATTTTTGCAACTCTTTAATTCCTAACATAAACCCATATGGTCTCTAAACCCATAGGTCTCTAAACCCATAAATTCAGGTAGAGAAAAAAACGTCTTCTCAAATGATAAAGACTACCTGCTTCCAGATCTTCTTCCAATATTTGCATACTTGTTCACCAGAAACTGAAAATATTTCTTGGGTATAGCCTTGAAAGATAGTGGTGGAATTGTTTAAAAGCCCTTGGCTCTTTAGTTAAAGTCCAAAACAAACTCACTATGGACCTTTTGTATATCTAAAAACAATGTCCTAAAGAGACACTAATGGCAGTAGTTGGCTATTAGGTCTCTTGACACAATCAAATCTGCCCCACAATTAAATGTGGGATTATGAGTAAAATGGTTTGGGTTGTTCCTCAAGGGTGAAATGGAATTTCCACTGCTGATTTTTAAAAAAATATTTATTTATTTATTTATGCATGTAAGAACTAGGGTACAGGCCAGAGGTGCAGGCGTGCGCGCGCTTGTGTGTGTGTGTATGTGTGTGTGTGTATGAAAGGATTCACAAGAGACAGAGCGCAGAGCAGGAAACAGAACAGGCAGAGTGACAAATACACTGCTGAGGGGAGCAGCGGGTGGGACAGAAGAGGTCTGCCGCGCCATGTGGGTCAGCTCCCTGGCTGGGAATCGAACTTGTGCTGCAGTGGATAGCTTCATAGTGCTGCAGTTTAACCTGCTGCACCATCAGGAAGGGCCCTCCATTGCTGATATTACCTAACTCAGAGCTCAAAGACTAAAATGAAATCATATAAATAAAAGTATTTTGAGGACTAATTTTTTTCTATT